CATTACAAATTTTATATATCTCCAGGGAGGTCATATTCGTGGGGGGAAACACCAGTTTATCTAAAAGCCGATTTTGTCTTGCATTTAGTGGCTATAATCAAAATTAACCTTACTGTAGTCAACTTATAGGCTACAATCGGGAACCGTCGGCACTTTTCGAAAACGAGAAAATACACTTTCTCGTGTACGGAAAGTGTCGACGGTTCCCGATTGACAACTGTCGTCGACACATGAGGGATTTCGTCGAGGAGGGAGGGTTTTCGCTGAAGGTTGAGTAAAGTTACCTCGGCGGTGTAGTTATGTCCAAGGGGAAATGGATTCGTCGACAAGCTGGTAGTTGTGTGAAGACGATGGTTCAAAAGGACGATGACAATTTTTTCGTTTTCACTTACATCCTGATTTGGCTTCGTTTGTCTTCGAACACTATCAACCAAACCTATATGAATGAGGTTTTGTCCAGTCGATTTTGGATAGTTAAGTCAGAGACATATGAATTGACCATCCGACATTGGCGGCATTATATTGTTGTGATATAAATTTGGATCTGGGACAATTCCTACCTTACTGGCTATTTCATTGTAACGGGAAGCATTCAATGACATCGGGAATGATTCCTCTGAAGACTTTATTAAATATCCGCGTTGATATGTTGTTTGTATTGCAAGTGCCTCACACAATATACCGCCAACAGAAGGAACATTATAACGGGTGCGTAAGCATACAAAACACATCTGTTACAGCATGGTCAGCTTAATGTAAACTTAATACATTCTAGAATTTGTCAATACTGTTTAAGTTCACTATTTCTCTTGTGCACATACATATATATTGGTACAGTTAAAGCAGCTTTCGTATAGTAACAAATATAACAGTATAGGTCTTTATTAATTTAAAGTCGTTTTACAATAAAAAATAATAATACCATTATGCTGTTTATGCAGGCGACAAATGGACACATAGTCCAGTACTGGGTTTTGTTCACAGTATCAACGTTAGGTCAATGGAACCATGCTTGTCCGGTGGAGTAGTACCCCGGTCGTATTAGTTCACGACAGGTCAACAATAAAGTATGTTGGTCTGCTAATAATCCCTTCAGTCCACTTCAGGCTGGAGTGTTAATAAATACGATCTGTCCGGGACATCTGTACAGATCTGTGGAGTCACAGGGACGTGCGAGTCAAACGACAGACACAGCTATGGACTTTCAACCATTGCTGAATGTTTTAGAGGTTTAATCAATATATATATATGACGAAAATGATACTTCAGTGTTGATTTAAACCACAGGGACATGTGAATTTGTTACAGCTGTATTTGGACCTAAACTAAGGTATTCAGAGTATTTTTTCATGTTTTAGGGGTTTAGATAGGCTTTCGGTAAAAATGACACCCCAACAAATTATCAGGTCCCGATGTCAGTGTGATCTAAACCTCTAAAATGGCCCTACTACATTAGAAAATGTCTGAAAGCAAACTGTCTTAATTCTCAGGTACCTGTGTTCAGAGCTGTGTGTGAGCTGGGGATTATGTTTATTAAGTTTAGTTGTCTTGGGGCATCTTCGATTTTGGAATTACCGATGTGTGATTAATTACAAATCAATTCCAATCGTGAATTTATTTATATATATATAGGTCGAGAGGGAAACTCTGTTAGATAGGTGGGCCGAGGGGCAATCTGGTAGTTAGGTTGGCCAAGGGAAGCCCTGGCGGATAGGTGGGCCGAGGGAAACCTTGGTAGATACGTGGGTCGAGGGCAAATGTGGGCCGAGGGGAAATCTGGTGGATATGTGGGCCGAGGGAAACTCTGGTATTACGAAATGGAATTTATTCATTTACAACACCACTAGTTTAAGTCTAAATATATATTTCCAACTTATATCAATCACTCTTTAAGGGTTGGTCGCAAGCGCACAGGGGGTGTGTGTATGGGAGGAAATGCGAGCACCCAGAGAAAACCGTGGTGGTTGGGCAGGTGATCCAATAACTTTTCCTGTCCGATAGGGGGATCGAGCCCCGGCCTTCTTGAGGATAGGCAAGTGCGCAATCCATTGCACCACCCGACCACCCGACCACCAATGGTGTTGACACTTTCGTGTTACTTTAAGGATAGGTTGGTCGAGGGAGACTAGACATAGGTTGGTGGACCGAGGGAGTTGCTGATGTCTCGTTACGTCGTCTATTGTCAGGGGTGATATTTCCCTTTGAGATATCTAAAACATTCTTTGTAGTAATGTGTACCATTATACTGTTATTGTGGTTGTCATGTGTGATTTACGTTTAGAGTTAAAGCGAGTGTTTTAAGGTCAGAGGGCACCACGAAATTGGTCCCAGGGCCAGTACTATCATGGAAAGGGTAAAGGTCATCAACTAAACCCCTAATTTACTTATAGCCTCTCTGTTGAATCACAGGAATGTATAACCTACAAAGACAGAATGGTGATGTTATTGTCCCTGAGATCGTAGCTGGTTCTTATCAGAGCCGACGGTTCGGGAAGTGAAAGACAATAGGCTTTCGATCGTCCGGACACATTTGTACATTGAAAACCACATTCGTTTGGTTTTCAAAGTTGATATCTGTATACGATACCGAGAACCTCGTCAGTTCAGACATGTTGGCTTCTGGTTAAAATGGAACCTCGTTCGTCCTGACATGTTGGTTTCTGTATAAAATGGAACCTCGTTCGTCCCGACATGTTGGGTTCTGTATCAAATGGAACCTCGTTCGTCCAGACATGTTGGTTTCTGTATAAAATGGAACCTCGTTCGTCCCGACATGTTGGCTTCTGGATACAGTGGAACCTTGTTACGATGTAGTCCCAACATTTTGGTTTCTGTATTTGTTCGATCCTCGAAGTCCCTACATTTTGTTTTCTGTATACAATAGAGCCTCGTCAGTCAAAACATTTTGGTTTTTGTCTACACTGGAACCTCGTTAGTCCGGACGCTTTAGTTTTTGTGTACAGTGACGCCTTGATGTCCCGTCGATTTGGTTCCAGTGTGCATTGAAACCTCGTAAATCCAGACATTTTGGCTTCTGTATACAATAGAACCTCGTTAGTGGTTTCGTTGGCTTCTGTATACAATAGAACCTCGTTAGTTCGGACAGTTTAGCTTCTGTATACAATAGAACTTCGTTGGTTCGGACTGTTTGGCTTCTGTATACAATAGAACCTCGTTAGATCGGACAGTTTGGCTTCTGTATACAATAGAACCTCGTTAGTTCGAACTGTTTGGCTTTTGTATACAATAGAACCTCGTTAGCTCGGACAGTTTGGCTTCTGTAAACAATAGAACCTCGTTAGTTCGAACTGTTTGGCTTCTGTATACAATATAACCTCGTTAGTTCGGACAGTTTGGTTTCTGTATACAATAGAACTCCGTTAGTTCGGACAGTTTAGCTTCTGTATACAATAGAACCTCGTTAGTTAAGACATTCTAGTTGCTGTATTTAGTGGAAACTCGTTTTTTTGCGCAGTCGAATTTTGTGGAACCTCGTTAGTTCTGACGTGTTGGTTTGATCGGTCAATTTCCTGTCTTTAATCAAGAATTTTCTCAAAAGTCATTGTATTTGCTTAGGTCTATATTAATATTCTTCAAAGCAATATTTTTGGCGGTAACATAATAATCTTTGTATAAATTTACTTTTCAATGGTTCTCTCTTTGGTTTCTACCTAATAACAGTCTTCTGCTAAATCAGAATAATGTTCACATAAAAATCAATTAGACCTAAGTTTTATATGATTTGCCCGGGGCAAGGGCTGTCCTCACTAATACGTTATCAGTAACAAAATCCATTAACTTCAAACTGCGTTAAGTACAATTTTATTGTTTTAAATACATGTATGTAGAAATACAATGTTTGTGTATATTCTACGATCATTTGAATCCATTAAGGACAGACATACATGTGTATTTTGTTTACTATTTCAACTGATTCACCACTGAAGACACATTTGAACTCTTCCAACTCAAAGGTTGGAATAGTTCATTATGAAATTTGAGGGGCGAATGAGTTAATCAATATGAACATATCACCTATATATAGATTTACTCAACATGTCACTAAGCCATCAATGTGCGATACAGGTGTGTCCAGGTTATGCGGGCCCTGTATCGATCACATCATCCTTTTAATCGGTAAATTATACGCTTTCCCGGAAGACATAGCTATCATCAGCAGTAATGTGATTGACCCCTAGGTCGTATCGTAGCGTATTCCTGGGCACGTGTTTGCATACCAATTAATGTATTTGCATACAATTAACTAAATACATATATTATCATATCTAGTTATAGGTTCCTCTTCCGTTACAGAAGATCGCCTATATTTATTCTTACTTAATATGATACAAATTTGCGTTAAATATATTTCTCCATACTTAATATGATACAAATTTGCGTTAAATATATTTCTCCATACTTAATATGATACATATTTGCGTTAAATATATTTCTCCAGACTTAAAATGATATATATTTGCGTTAAATATATTTATCCATACTTTATATTCTACATATTTGCGTTAAATATATTTCTCCATACTTTATATGATACATGTTTGCGTTAAATATATTTCTCCATACTTTATATTATACATATTTGCGTCTCCATACTTTATATTATACATATTTGCGTCTCCATACATAATATGATACATATTTGCGTTAATATTTGTTTTCACTTATCTTTCTCTTTTCCTCACTGTTTTTTTTTTAAATTGAATTGAAGACTAGTTAGACTACTGCCTGATTGTAAATATATATTACCTTGTAACAAGAGAAAGGATTATATAAGTTGGCATAACTCGCGTGCAACCCTTTTGTAAATATGTATGCAATAACATTTTGTTTGGTCTAAATAATTTACTAAGGTTAGGGGAAAACACATCAAAAAATGATTTTTGTTTTTGTTTTTTTTGTTTAAAGAACTGAATAGATTGGAACATTTGGTTAATTTTACTTACAGTAGGTATACAATTGTACGTGCTTCTGTGTTTCAGGCGTCACTAAGAAAACATGTCTAAACGTATGCGGGGATACGGGCTGTCAGCGGAGATAGACCGAAAGGTAGGGCTAAATATGTTGGAGTTATTTCCCTTTAACGAACCAGAGTCCGTTATCAGTATTGGATACACGTTATAACAAATTGTGACAAATTTATCTAGCTAAATAACGGAAGCAGGTGCCTGTGAGTGAACTTTATAGAGTTTTGAACAACATACTCCAAGTTCAATTTCTTTATTTCTCTTTACAAATTGCTGTACATGAATAGACATAACTTATTTTAAACTGCATTGTGCACTGCATGTGATGCAATAGATTGCATTAGCATTTTCTGTGTGTACATGTCGGTGTAGATTTTTTTTGTGAACTATTTTTTTCTTATCAAAATAATGACGTATCTTATCGTAAAATTTTATATGTAATGACCATTGATGAAGCTGTTTGTTGAACAAGAAATTCTGAAAAGTGACATTTGATCACAGCTAGGGCCCAGTTACATGTAGGTTGGTGCTAATGATTATATGTCATGTTGTAGAATATAATTAAGAAGTATAACTTCTCGACTGGTTTTCCCATACCTCTGATATTGTATATATGTATATATACATGTGTATGTTATAATTGCGTTGGCTTTTTGAATACCTGTACGTGTTCTAACTCGGAAAAAAATCTTGACTAGCTGAGTATCGATGTCTGTCTGTTTGTGAGTACAATATATATCCTAATTGAAACGTCTGAATATTTGTAGCGAAGAGATCAATATAACAATGAAATTGACCGAGAGCAGGAGGCCCGTCTCTGGATTGAAGAGGTCATCGGCGAGGAACTGGTCCAGGTAAAACTCATACAAATATCACATGTCACACACGTAGACTTGGACGAGACTGGATATAATATAAATGCTTCACTTCATTAGAGTGTGACATTGTCTATGGTGACCCCGAGGGTATCACTGTCACCTTTCGCCTCGGGTGACAATGATACCCTCGGGGTGATACTAGGCACTGTCACACTCTAGGCCTAATGATTGTAGTATTTATTTTATTATACTGGAATAAACCATAGCGGCTGAATCGAACCATTTGCGCATTTTTCTTGGTGTGGTTACTATTTTGCACTGTCACAATCACTGTAACTTGTTGCTAGGGCGTTGGGAAACAACCTTCCATTGACTCAATGTTAAAGCGAATGAGCTAGTGTGAAATGAACAATTTGTCTCGACCAATCAGAATACAGGATTTTCACTAGAGGTACATGTACAATAAAGATGTATGTCTCATAATAATACAATCTTGTTAGTCAGACACAAAAACTAGCATGTCACAGACATAAACTGTCTCACGCGGAAGTCCCCAAGAGAACTAAACAATGCAGACAAAATAAACCGAACTACCTACGTTTATGTACCATCTCAAAACTAACACCGGCAAACAATACTTACCCCTTGATATATATGTTATATTTCTCTGTGCAATAAAAAATGTTGTAATGTCCGGTTTCCATTCTATATAAGATACCGCCTGGTTTTCTCGGAGTAAATTGTTTGAACAGATCCGAGTTCATTGTACTTCCATTGAACCCATTTTTGAGCTCAGAATTTTCTTGAAAAACGATGGCGTTGTAAAATGTTTGAAATATGTAATGTAATTCATTTACTTCGTAAAGCGTAGATGGTGTTTACGGGTTCCTTGCATACTTATTTTTCTCCTTTGACATCCTCTTGGTGACAAACAGGGGACAGAAACCCGCGTTGCTCCATTACAACATTGTACTCTCTGCCGTTTCAGTATCTGTTGCTGGAACGCACAAATCATAAAAATGTAAACTCATATTTTGACGTTTCGCTTGTGTTGTAGGGTTCCGACAGAAGTCAACCTTTAACGTGGGACGGACTACACAAAAGTCTCATGGACGGTATCGTCCTTTGCAAGTAAGTAAAACATTGCATGGCTAACAAAAACACACCTTTAACCCTTGATACTCAAGGGGTTATGCTCACTTTCGCTCTCTGCATCAAAGGATCGAACTAGTCTTCTTGTCTCATCAACAAGGTGGCGCACCAGTGTGCCCACCTTGTTGATGCACACATTTGAGTCAAATGATTTCTGATGTAATATGAATTCAAAATCAAAATCACTCGGATAAGAAACAACCTGTCCATGGACTAATCTACCACAGGTTTGAAATCAAGGAATGATCTAACAGAATGTCAGGCATTGAACAACCTTTTAAAACATTTTTGACAAAAGAAAATCAACCGGAACGTTTAGACTTATGCACAGTCTTCCAGAACATTTAGATAGCGCAACAATGTTACCAGAAATGTTTCAGATGAAAGAGAAATCTGCCAAAGCATCAATAAACAATCTACCAGACTGTTTCTTGGTCAATGAACAATGAACCAAAATGTGTCTGATTAAAGAACAATCTCACAGAATGATCCTGATCAATGAACAATGTACCGGAATTTTTCTGATCAATGAACAATGTACCAGAATGTTTCTGATCAATGAACAATATACCGGAATTTTCCTGATAAAAGAACAATGTACCGGAATGTTTCTGATCAATGAACAATGTACCAGAATGTTTTCTGCTCAACGATCAATGTACCAGAATGTTTCTGCTCAAAGAACAATGTACCAAGATGTGTCTGATCAAAGAATAATCTCCCAGAATGATTTTGATCAAAGTACAATGTACCAAAATGTGTCTGATCAAAGAATAATCTCCAAGAATGATTTTGATCAAAGTACAATGTACTAAAGCGCTTAACAGTGCATCTTCCACAATAGTAGGATAGCCGAAGTAACTTCGAAACCGATTCTTATAAAGGGAGAAGATTACATTGATATATGTTTAAAATTTGTTCCAGATTAATAAACACTCTGTCACCTGGCTCAGTGAAGAAAATAAACAAACCAATGACTAACTACCACAAGATGGAGAACATCGCCAACTTCCTGTCTGCCATTTACGGATACGGTGTTGCTAAGGAGGACCAATTCAACACGCCAGATCTCTTTGAGAACGTTAACATGCTGGCGGTTGTCAACACCCTCCATGGGCTGGGCAGGGCGGTACGTAGTTTGAAAAAATACATATAATATTTAATTCGGATATTTTTTTATTTTTTTTATATTTGTCTTCTCATTAATATTTTTTAGCACATTTATGTATCAAAGTCAGTTTGTTTTAAAATATTGCTATGCTGTAGCTTGAGTTTCATCTGGCCCTGACACCAGACTAAGACATTTTGACAGATAGATGTCTGGTGTGGATCCTCCGCGCACACACACACGCCAGACATATTTCTGTCAGGGCTGGAGGAAACTCGGACTAGTTATGCTGGTAACTAGCAGAAACCCCTGTGTCATTTTAATAGCTGTTGATCTTTGGTTATATCTTATTTCAGGCTCAGAAGAATGGGTTTACAGGATCTGTCTTGGGACCAAAAGAAGCGGATTACAACCCTCGTAACTTTAACGAGGAGGTTATGAACAAGGGACAGACGGTAATCGGTCTGCAGGCCGGCTCCAACAAGGGAGCTTCCCAAAGTGGTATGAGCTTCGGCCGGACGCGGAACATCAACGAACCTTATGTGTCGAGCTGAAGTCGTTATCCCTAGGACTTTATAATTATGTAGGTCATGTTATACAAAGTCTCATTGCTTCAGTAAGATGGCCTTGAACAGATCCATATCGTATTTAATCTCGTATGTTCCCTGTTTCAGTAAGTTGGTCTCAAATACACTGCTGATAATGCATACTGTGGACTAACATGGATTCTATTTGAGATTGGATATTGAAGTGTGAACCTTTTTGGGGTAACACTGTGTTGACATCAGACAGAAGAACATAGATTAAGTTAAATTTTGTTTTTTTTTGTATTCCATAAGTATAATTCTTATAAGGTTTTCAAGTATGATATCTAGGTGTAGCTATTAATCCCACAAAACAAACCATTTTTCAACTGATTTTTTTTTTTAGTGAACGTCAGAATGTTATGTTTTGAATGAAGGTGCCATTTGACTCTTTAAGTGAACTCCTGGTAATGTCTGTTTACTATTGATAATACGGTAAATTAGATAATAGTTAACTCCTGGTAATGTCTGTTTACTATTGATAATACGGTAAATTAAATAATAACGCATTTGGAGTTCAGGAGTATGGCATCACTTTGTTACATGTGTGACTCTCAACCCTTTCACCCCTATGTTACTTTAGTAAACTCTTCCATGCATTAATCGGGATGAGTCCATTATGGTATACGGTGGTGAAAGGGTTCAATTGAGTTAGCCAAAACACAAAATACGATTGTTACAAAGATGGTTTAATTATGACTAAACTTGAATCTGCCAAAACCTGAATACAAATGTAATATGTGTCGGTGTATAATTTTGTTATGACTCTAACTTTGAATTAGCCAAGACAGTATACAATCAATAAGTACTAAATCTATATCATAGAGTTGTAACCAACGTTTTCTTTCTTTGTCAGTCTCAGTTTGTAGATCGTTTGAGTTTTATTTGTATTAAATGAGAAAGGACTTCAACGTATTGTTTTGACTCTAAACCGTCCTGGAAACTCCAGGGGTTACGCTCACCTACACTGAGAACGGAAATAGGGTAACCCTAGAGTATCCAGGATGACTCTATACGTATCAGTTCTCATAGCAAATTAGCTTCATTGTTAATTCATATAACTCTACATGTACCTCTATGTAACTTTACATTAATTCGGTGCAACTTGACATCAATGGTATTTTGTAACTTTACATTATTTCAATGTAATTTTACATTATTTCTATGTAACTTTACATTATTTCTATGTAACTATACATTATTTCTATGTAACCTTACATTAGTTCTATGTAACTTAACATTATTTCTATGTATTTTACAATAGTTCTATGTAACTTTACATTATTTCTATGTAACTTTATAATAGTTCTATGTAACTTTACATTAGTTCTATGTAACCTCACATTATTCCTATGTAACTTTACATTAGTTCTATGTAACTTTATATTATTTCTATGTAACTTTACAATAGTTCTATGTTACTTTACATTAGTTCTATGTAACTTTACCTTAGTTCTATGTAACCTCACATTATTTCTATGTAACTTTACACTAGTTCTATGTAACTTTACATTATTTCTATGTAGCTTTACAATAGTTCTATGTAACTTTACATTATTTCTATGTAACCTCACATTATTTCTATGTAACTTTACATTAGTTCTATGTAACTTTATATTATTTCTATGTAACTTTACAATAGTTCTATGTAACTTTACATTATTTCTATGTAACCTCACATTATTTCTATGTAACTTTACATTAGTTCTATGTAACTTTATATTAGTTCTATGTAACTTTACAATAGTTCTATGTAACTTTAAATTATTTCTATGTAACTTTACAATAGTTCTATGTTACTTTACATTAGTTCTATGTAACTTTACCTTAGTTCTATGTAACCTCACATTATTTCTATTTAACTTCACATTAGTTCTATGTAACCTCACATTAGTTCTATGTAACTTTATATTATTTCTATGTAACTTTACAATAGTTCTATGTTACTTTACATTAGTTCTATGTAACTTTACCTTAGTTCTATGTAACCTCACATTATTTCTATTTAACTTTACATTAGTTCTATGTAACCTCACATTATTTCTATTTAACTTCACATTAGTTCTATGTAACCTCACATTAGTTCTATGTAACTTTACCTTAGTTCTATGTAACCTCACATTATTTCTATGTAACTTTACAATAGTTCTATGTAACTTTAAATTATTTCTATGTAACTTTACAATAGTTCTATGTAACTTTAAATTATTTCTATGTAACTTTACAATAGTTCTATGTTACTTTACATTAGTTCTATGTAACTTTACCTTAGTTCTATGTAACCTCACATTATTTCTATGTAACTTTACATTAGTTCTATGTAACTTTATATTATTTCTATGTAACTTTACAATAGTTCTATGTTACTTTACATTAGTTCTATGTAACTTTACCTTAGTTCTATGTAACCTCACATTATTTCTATTTAACTTCACATTAGTTCTATGTAACCTCACATTAGTTCTATGTAACTTTACCTTAGTTCTATGTAACCTCACATTATTTCTATGTAACTTTACAATAGTTCTATGTAACTTTACATTAGTTCTATGTAACTTTACCTTAGTAACTGAGCATTATTTTTGATTATTTTTATTGCTGTTAAATTCCTTACGTTCGTTTAATTTCACATACTGTTCAAGTAAATCATTGTTTGTAGTAGAAGATTTTAAACATAGAGTTATGGCTAGGTTTTCAATATCATATTTCATCCTTCAACTGCTTGTTAATTTGTTATCGTTTGCATTTTACCTTGCAATCAAATCGTCACGTCAAAGATGATTAGATATTGTGCACTATGACTGCTAAAGTGTATTAGCTGTCCGATCAGAAAAAAAATCAAACAATGCTTTACAATGTTTTACAATGTAGTCGGATTGATTGTGAAATGTTTTAAGTGGAAAGTCAACTCATTCATCCCTGGAGACGCATTTGAACTCCTCCAATTCAAAGGTTGGAATAATTCATTATGAAATTTCAGGGGTGAATGAGTTAAAGATTTTAGTACAAGTAATATACAAGGGAGGCTATTCTTGTGCAATTAGGTTACTGGAATATAGAACTATATTGTAAGATGTTTCCCATAAAATTAATCTCCTGGTAACACTGAATACTTCCATGTATTTGCAGATGTCTTTGTGCCTTATGCCAGATAAAATCAGCATTACTGTAACAAATATTGCTGTAATCTCTAAAGACTTTCAATCTTTTACAAATCTGACTGTTCTTTCCACTTGTGCATTATATTTTTTTACTTACAGGAATAAAACATAGATAAGGAGAGATCTGGAGTAAACATTCTTTTCTTAAGTCTGTATGGGAGGGAGCCTATTATTTTCTCTGTTTTTCATGATTTATGTTTACATTTCAAAATATCGCTTTTAGCGTCCCTTTTAATCAGTGTTTTGACAATTTGTTCGATCTGAATTATTTTTAACAGAATTATCATTTTTCGTAGAAGGAATATCACATTATTGTAAAAAAATATATATAGTAAGATAAATCATTTTCTAGTCTTAACTTAGCTATGCATATACACTAACATGCATTTTATCACAACCAACTTTACATACATTATTACTCCTTGATCTGGGTATATTTGTGTTACTCTTGAATGAAATTATTTGGCCTTAATGCTATAATGTTTGAAGATATTTTAGCGGATGTTGTAATGTTTGCGAAAAATCATGTTTAAGCTAACATTGTAATGTTTAAAAACGTTTTAGCAAAGACCAGTTTAGCATTTGTTTTATTACACTACTTGATTATGTCCACACAGGTGGAACAGATTACTAGTGACCTTGAATCATGACATGTACATGGCTTTAGTACATTTCAGAAATGGAATATATTTATTGCCACCCCTTTACGTGACATGGCATGTACATTTGAGAGACGGAACATATGTCTTGCCACTACTTGCGTGACCTGGCATGTACATTTCAGAGACGGATTATTTTTCGTATCACCCTTTGCGTGACCTGGCATGTACATTTGAGAGTGTACATTTGAGGGACGGAATATATTTTTTGTCAACCATGCGTGACCTGGCATGTACATTTCAGAGACGGATTATTTTTCGTATCACCCTTTGCGTGACCTGGCATGTACATTTGAGAGACAGAATATATTTCTTGCCACCCCATGCATGACCTGGCATGTACATTTCAGAGACGGAATATTTTTCGTATCACCCTTTGCGTGACCTGGCATGTACATTTGAGAGTGTACATTTGAGAGACGGAATATATTTTTTGTCAACCATGCGTGACCTGGCATGTACATTTCAGAGACGGAATATTTTTCTTGAAACCCCTTACGTGACCTGACATGTACATTTCAGAGATGGAATATATTTCTTGCCGTCCTTTGCTTGACATGGCATGTATGCCACCCCTTGTGTGACTTGGCGTGTACATTTCAGAAATGGAATAGATTTCCTGCCATCCTTAGCTGACCTGGCATGTACAATTCAGAGACGGAATACATTACTAGTCATCTAGCCATTGATGTGGTTTGTACATTTCAGAGAATGAACATACCTTACAATATGTGTTAATACTTAGATCTGATCATCACCTGCTCTTTGTAGCCAATCACTTGTTTTACATCGCCAGTTTTACTAATAAACAGTATAATTGTATTAATATTTGATATACATATATACATTTTATTGAATTTTTTTTCGTGTTATGATATATTGTATTTTATATTATGAAATGTGTTTTGTGGAAGTACTAAATACCCTTGCATCAATTGGTACTGAAAAGGGCAAAAGGCTTAATAAGGTAGTTTTGTTGTTATGATTATAGTTTTAACCAAGTGCTGCAGTTTTGTTTGGTAATAATTATCAGAAACAGAAATGAGATGCATTGAAAACAACAATGTTTAAGCTAAGAAACCAGCAGTATTACGTTCAGGTTTACACCTCTCTTAAATGAAATACCAAACCCGATATTAATTCTACCTCATAACAGAAAGAAAATGTCGTACAAATTGTAGATGGAAGTAAAAAGTACATGTAGTACAAGTAGTAGCTATATTGTAGACAGTTGCGACTGTTGTGGGGTCATCTGTAAGTTGACTTGTGACAAACATAAGGGTGCTAAATATTTAGGGACAGTTACTCACCAAACAACAAATTTCGTTTAATTGGAAAATTCAGTTTTATCGGCTTTGTCTGAATTATATATTCCAGAAAATGGTTTAGGAAATTCGGCTTGTTACCAGCTTAAAAATGCAAATGTAAAAAGATGTGTCGTCTTGTTTAATTGTGCAAAAATACATTGTTGTTGTACTTTTACCATAATACATTGGCTTGTGTATTTGTACAATATGTTTTGTACGTGTGTTTGTAATTATCGTCACTGTGTGCATAAGCAATCCAGTACACATGATCTGTGTACAGAATATGAAATTCTACAATGGAAAAGAAACGATATAAGCTTTTGTACCATTCGGGAACCGTCGGCTCTTTCCGTAAACGAGAAATGTCTCATTTACGGAAAGTACCGACGGTTCCCGATTGATTTTGTAGTTCGCACAAACAATTTATATGTGAACAGCGTTTCTGATCCTCCTCCTCCTAAGGTGTAGCTATGCATTGTCTTGACTTGTTGACGTGTCTGAAGATAATTATATTCTGAATGTATCAAGGGACCAAACATGCATACCTGATGTTATGCTTGCTCGAGTTTTTGAGTTATTTTGTTGACAACATTCCTGTTAGTTATTAGATTGGTATATTTTACGATGATAAATGAAGAAAGCAAATGTTATAAATTTCACAAAATTTCACAAATTAAAGATTTCAATTGAATCATTTTTTTCTTAATGAATGAGGAATATTTTGAAATACACACTATATTTGTATGTAAAGCGATACTTTGTGATATATTCTTACTTACTTTTGTCTCTCTGTCGCGTTTGGAATTAAGGCAACCACGGCCTTGCATTACATTTGATGTGAATTCAATACCAATAGTTGATGAGAAAATGTGGCCAAAACTACTTCAACAGCGTATTGTATTATAATGTGTAGATATATGTGTTGTATCATAAACTGAAAATATACATTCCAATAAGTCGCTTGCATAGACTGTATAACATACGCACTCCGGTAATGGTCAGCATAGTATAAATAGGGCTGACATATTGGGGGTCAACATGTAGTTGTGCTTTGCGACCATTATCTTTTATATAATAAACACATCCATAACATGTTTTGTAGTTGTTCTGATTTGTCACCATGCATCTTAATATACGTTTTATTTCCTCGTAAACTCGGGATTGAATGTGGCTTACACTGTAACAAGTGCTACAATCGGGAACTGTCGGCACTTTCCGTAAACGAGTGTTTTCTCGTTGACGGAAAGTTCCGACGGTTCCCGATTGACACGTGTAACGATACTCTCTTACTAACAGGTATTATTGCTGATGATGACTGACGGACATGTAACCAAATTAAAACGATTACGGAAATTCACGAATATTTTCCGACTGACGTTTTGTTCTGCCAATTATAAACCGAGATAAACCAACTTGGAATAAGATTTATTAATTTGGTATGAATAATTAATGCTAAGTTTGTTTCAAATACAAACAGGAAACTTGTTACCCGTCCCCCTGACTAGGCGCCTATACAGTCTCTAAGATTTCTGACAGCTGACTTCACTGATTGTTCAACAGTTTAGAGTCCATGCACCGGTTATTCACACTCTTTGCTTGACAAAGGAAACATCATCTTCTCTAGCCTAGTGTTCGCTTCGTACACACTCTACTTACCTTACCTAAGAGGAGTGCGTACATCTACGTGTATCCGAAGCGAACATACGTTTTCGGTAGCTCGCAGAAATACTGAGTTTTCAATTTAGTTTAAACAGTATTTTTATTCAATATTTGGCAGTGACAAAATAATACAAAAATCAACAAAGAGGATTCGAAAACAAGTACATAAGTACTTATATTAATTCGTTTCCTTATCAATAAACCTGGCAGTAGGACGGCACTGTTACATTTATTTTGATAGTATAACAGACAAAGAGAAGAAGAAGAAATCGGCGAGGGGAGAGCGGAAGGGGTGCATCAGGAAATGAAAGAAAGTGGTTACGAAGAGAATAACAAGAAGAACTGCATTACTTGATTGAATCTGGTTGGAATGTGATTCAGGAAAAGGTATTCAATTCTGTTTGTGTTGAAAACAAACTTAGCATTTACAACCATAATGTTCATTGTTTTTTCTTCTTCTTTAGTAAAACATTTTATTGCCAAAATAGTGACAACAGGATTGGGCACAAGTTATTACAACATTATTTACGCCCTTTCCTCAAATATATATATTAGATTTACAAAAATGGCACAACTGGGTATCAAATAATATGTATTATAGTAGCATTACAACAACAGAAACAAAAAGAGAAAGAACAACATTAAACAGTCTCACAAATTGAGTATAGAAGTATAAAATGCCTTACGAATTAAAACCTACCGCTGGTCTTTATGAATTTTTGCACGTTACCAAAATATCATTATTTTGTTTAGAAGACAGATCCGGAATACCAGATAACAATATATCTAAGGAGATTTTATTAACAAAATTTAGATTTTGAAACATTTCAAACCTCTGGTGTGTATAAACTGGACATTCAAAACAGAAATGATAGGCGTTTTCACATGGAGATCCACAGACACAGGCGGGACAATCTACGATGTTGACTCTAAATAAATCATAATTTAGGGAACTGCTTGTTGTACCTTAATTTAGTGTGAATGATATTTATTTTTCGTTCACCATAACAAAATCTTCTTCTTTACTTTAATGATGGTATACAACAAGGTTCCGTTCAAACATGCGCAACCTTACATTATGGAAAGGTAATGATTTAAACATGCAAATGTATAAATAGAATTGCCAAAATGTAAAAAATTGATTTGGCACACGTTATGATAATATTAGTTTGTCCCCTCTACAAAAATGTAAGAACAAAACATTGTGTCAAACAAAAACAATAAACACAAAACGTATGACATCTTTATTGTAAGGATTATCACTTTTATTAATTCATTAATTGTTTATTTTAATTCTTAACCGTTATACATAATAAGTGAACGTGATATATAAATGTACTTAACGTTAAGTGTTGTTAAAGTCTATTCCGTCTTTGCGTATTGCAGAGTTATCTTCCCTTGTGCGCAGGTATTGATTGTTACGTCATTGGTTTGTGTGAGAAAATTACGTCGTCGTTTTCTCAAAAATGTGTGTCGTTACTCTCACAAACAAATGACGTAACAATCAATACCTGCTCACAAGAGCAGATAACTCTGCAATACGAAAAGACGGAATAGGCACACAATCTAAATAATGTTTCAAAGTGATATTAAAACTGATATTTTCTTACTTTGACAAATAACATGTTTTTCACATGAAAGTAACAAATACAATGTAATTAGTATTCTCACTATTTTTTGGCGGGAGATACATTTTCTTTTCGCGTAAGCGATGTCTTTGTAAAGGAAAACTTACTAAAATTCGCTCAAATGGTGTATTTTTTAAAAATCAACCCACGAGTGAAATGTATCTGTTATTAAGGAACTCAGATTATGCCCTAATTATTTGTTTGCATTTTTGTTTGGAGAGATAATGAAGTTATAATACGCAGTGCGTTAATTGTTACTTTGCTGTCTTCAGTGACTTTACAGGGTTGTTATGACAGTAGGCTTATGAAGTCCATTTCAAGCATATTCTACTGTACATCATGATCACGGGACATGTTTCAACGGAACTGAGTTGCCTACCAAAAGTTGAAAAAAGCAAGCCAATCCTTAAATGCTACATTACTTGCGCTTGTACTGCGACCGGTCCCACTGCGACCGGGCCCACTGCGACCTACACAGCATTACAAAGAACAAAGCGAACAGTCAAATAAAAAACGAAATATTGGGATACACGTATACAATATAGATCCTAATATTGCGACAATTATATATCATTTTTCAAACATTAATTTGCTTTTTATTTCTAAATACAAATAGTTTAATGTAGAAAAGATAGTACGAATTTATTATAAATTGTGCGGATAACAAACTCCCGTATTCAATTCTTTTTAATATATGTTTTAAATATAAAATGCTTGCATGCAGGTAATCAATACTGTTGTGTTTTAACGATCAATGTCCTTAGACGTATTATATACGAAGATAGTGTCTCATTATTGCTTGGAATTTAAAAATGTATCAGCAAAACTTTTACAACCTGTGGAGATGTGCGACATTAAAATAGAACGTTTCGACATTTCTTATAAGGGGAGATCACTCGTACAGTCTTGAATCAAATAACTTGCATTAGATTAATTAGTGTACCACAGAAACTCGTCGACGTGGATGGGGAAAATAATGAAATCCATTGTCTCCTTTCTATTATATCCGTTACAAACTTACAGAAAATTACTAGTAGTTCTGAAAATGGTGTGCTCTTCACATATTATCTCCTATCGACGTGTTTTATATCTTCTAACGATGCGTCTAATACGTATAACGACGTGCCACATCGCAAAACGACGTTGAACGCTCCAACCATCTAAATCGCTGGTTCAATACATAAATAATAAGAGTGTTTCATAAAAATAAAACGAAATGTGTCCAGCTATATATAACTTATCTTGGTAGACTTAACGACTAGAATAATGAATGAGTCATTAAGATGTCTTTGGTATCAAATATCGGCAAGGCACTATAGTTCACGAAAGATTCTTAACATAAGAAAAATCTTTACTTAAAGTGTTCCATCAGAAAGCATTTCTAAAGTTCCAACGTCTAAATAAAATCTCTCTTTTAGCAAAACTTCTTTTATATTTATTTATGGTGACAGTTGAAACAATTAAACATGTCATTATATTTCATTTTGTGACGCTGTAAGTATTGTGACGTCATAAATAACGATGTTGTCGCCAGGATACAGAGGAGTACGGCATGTAGCCGACATGCTCGGTTGTTAATTACTGGACAAACAAGTACACGTGTATTAGTGAGTCGGAGAGGATGGCGGGTGATTGAGCTGGTTAGTTGGAATAAGAAGATATCCAAGGATGGCGTTCAGGTATTTACTTTTGCTCATTTCCTCAACGAGTACAGGTCGTCCTTTCCTTGACTAGATGCCCTTGTGTAAGTTTGGTCATGGAGAACGTCAAGTCCGTGTGTTAACTGAACACGTGGCAGGCTTAATTATATATATATATTAGACAATAATTTCCCAATAACATCAATAAAACCACATCGTCTTTTCGACACACGTCACGTACGTAAACAACAGAATCTGTAAGCATATTAACATCGTCAGCTTTAAAAGAACAAAAAATGTGTGGTTCAGGTATTCCGATCTTCCCTAGATTTTCTTGCCAGCCCTAGAACATTTTAGCACATATACTTCAGTGGCGGATCCAGAGACCTATCTGGGGGGGTTTCCAAATTTCCTGGGGGGGTTTCCATGTAGGGAAAAATTGAGGAAAATGGTGAAAATACATGATTTTTAAAGAAAATTCTCAGGGTGGGGGGTTTTCCTGAAGCCCAAAAAACCCCTCTGGATCCGCCACTGTACTTGTTTCCAAAATTACATTTTTTTTTTAACCTAGGAAAGCTTATAGTCACTTATTTTAATATACGTTCTTGCGGTTCAGGGAGCCTGACCCGTTCTTGAAAGCTAAAATAGACTTTAATAGATGGAAATGGGTATACATTTTTCACAAAGCATTCATAATATTGATCCATGAAAACAGAAATAAATAAAATAAAAATAAATATATTTGACTACCGTATTTTTTCTGACATGCTCCATGAAATACACATTGTTTTAGTCTTACTAGACTAATACCAATAGAATCACGGAATATTAGATTGGACTATTTCAGTCCGAAACAAAAAACCCCAAAAAGTCAATTTCAGGGGAATCAATTTATTTTAATTTTAACCCAGTAATTTTTATTTTCTAATTCAGTCTGATAAATAGGTTTCAGGCCTAGATATGAAGTTCAACTCAATGCAGTCCCTAGTATGCATGCCTGTATTTTGACAGAATTTAAGGAGTTCAACAAGCAGAAGTCTTTCAAGTACCATTGTTTGTTTAACATAAATAATTCATAAAGTTAAGGGTCTCCTTTGGTCGCAACCATCCAAACATGTATACATTATTTTTCCTGGCCATTAAGAAAAGGTTTTTTTCCAATATCAAGTGAAAGCTGAAGCTGTATTCATAATTTGTTATTGGCAAATGATATTTAAATACATTTACTTATGTGTATTCTATAAATAGATTAATTGCTAACTTTTTAAGGTTAACAAGAAGCCGCCTGAAAGTTATATTTTCCCCGAAGTCAGATCTACTATATATATATACATGTAATTTACCAGCTAATTGCTCAAGACCAAATCCCCATCCGCCCTAGTGACCCCGAGAAATCCTTTTATCCCGTTAATCAATCAGCGGTCACTAATAGTAGATTTGTTTGTACAGGAACGAGGCGGAAGGCACATTGTCAGCCCCCAGTAGGCAAGACAGGAAGCCCAGCTCTAAGAAGCGACGAAGCCAGGTTGTTGCTGTTCCTAACCCGTGGGGACTTGCCACAGTGAGACTTGCATGGGAAGATAAAATTCGGATATCACCGAGCAATGAGTTACTAATACTGAGGGCCGTGTTAAAACCTCGTAGTCTAGCCATGCCTCCGGGAAAGTTCGACACCACCACCACCCATGGGATCAAGAAGAAAATCAGGCCGAGCTCGGCTGCAGCCAAACTTCAAAGCCATCCGTCCTTCTACACCAATATATTTGACAATTCTCGCCCGGCCACAGCGACAACAAGTACCCGATCCCCTGAGGCCGGACAGCGCCCCGTTACCCACGCAGCTGGGGGTCGGAGACAGTATAGGGCACCCCCGGAGGATGAACGACTCAAAGAGATCGCAAAACAGCCTCGTAGACTCACCCTCGGGGCTGTGGATGGCATCAGCGAGCTCGAACATATCCCACGCCCCTCCATGGGGAACGGGGCGATATCGGCACAACTTAAAAGCAAGGTATTTATGTTATTTTAAGATTACTTAGTTTATTATTGAGTGTTCGGGACTACCCCGTCTACAGTAGCACGTGTAAACAAACAGGCACGGGCACTCTGAGACATGTTTACGAGCTCCAGATTTTACCGTCGCGTGATTTTATGTGTCTGTGTAATATTTTATTACTCTAGATTGGTGTTTGAATTGACACTAATCTGTATGGATGGCTGCAAACAAAATCAATACTGTCATGTTTATGATTGAAAGCTCCTGGTGGACTAATTTGTTATTCAAAATGGCGATTTGTTGTAGCAACTTGACTACTTCCGGTAACAAAAGGGGGCGTGTCTTGCTGATGTACACAACATGGATTTTAACACTGTCTGGGAAATTAAGCAATAAAGTGACTAAAAAACTCTTTTTTTCACAATACGCACAATAAAAATTAAACCGTCTGTCATGCATGGAAGTCAAATACATTTTTGACAAGCTAAGACAATAAATAATAATATTCAAATTCTTATAAATTATGAAAAAGTTCTTTGAGAAATATGGCAAGGAACACATGCTTTTGTGTAAATTTTGATGAAATGAACCAACACAAAATCAGTTTAAAGCATTGTCAAGATTTAGTAAATACACATATATATACATGTGTGCATACATATGACTGATATGTATATGTTGTAGTGTGTAATTCCCTCATACTACCTGGCACATGTGTGATCCAGGTAAGCTGGAGATTGTGACTCATGAAGTTCGTCTAGAATTCTCTGATATGAAAACATTTTTACATTATTCTTTAAAGGGGCTGGTCGGGGAAAAAATGTCATATTTGCTAAAATGGCATACACATGTTTAAAATACCTTCTTATGAAATATACCGATTCAAATTTTGCTGAAATTCACTCCCTAAGAGTAAAAATTATAATTATATTAAAGAAAACCTAAATCGTAACCTGACAGTCTAAAACTCTCAATTGACCCAGATCAGTGATGTAATTTTACCGCATGCGCGTCATCAACAAGGCCAAATGTAAACATTGCGGCGAAAGAAAAAGATGCATGCAAAAGTCATGACAGGCACGAGGTATCAATACCGTTATATATAACAACATATAGGTAGGAAAATTACACTTGCATCATACATGACCTTTAAAAACAATTATTTACGTATAGTATTACTGTCTTGTCCGCTAGTTGAGTCCGACATGGCTGATAGACGGCGTGCTATTGTTGTTATCTCCACTGCCTCACTTTCGAAACAACCACATGTCATATATAAATAGATCTGCGCTAAATTTACGCAGGGGCTTCCCCGATATTTCAGTGGTCAAAACTGGACATTGCAAGCAGAACTCGACCATCATATTGCCGTGGTATAACTTTTGGAATGCCAGAGAATGCATTTAGACCCATTTATTTTGTATTTTTTTCCCCGACCAGCCCCTATTTTACTCTTGGTATCAAAATAATCTAACCAGAGGAATTTTGCTGCAAGACTGGTGATAGGGATTGAGTGGAACAGCAGGGATGAAGTGGTTTGGTTTTATTTTGTTTAACGTCCTATTGACAGCTAACGTGCCTCCATGTGTGTTGTGTAAGCGTGCATGCACGTATGTGTGCTGGAGACAGGGTATGTTGGTGTACTTCAGGGATGAAGTGTCTTGCTGTCAAAGGACACAACAATCTGTACGGAATAACTCTTCCGTTAAGTCAGATTCCCAATAAATATATATAAACCCGGCTGTATGATCATGTTTTAATTGGACATTGTAAGGTTTAAGCAAATTCATATAGATGTTGATGAAAGAATCAAATCATAAACAATTTTATAATGTATATATATATATACACCACTGAAACAGGCTTAACTGAATTGTTTCATTTAAAGAAGGAAAACAATAAGGAATAACTTGGTTGAGATCCAATATTGTATCAGGTAGTCAAGAGAATCTTCAACTTTTTTGCATTAAGTGATTTCGGCTTATAGAATTCAGCTTGTTATTTAAAGTAAGTGAGTTCTGCTGAATTAAATATTAGATTATAAAACTAGGCAAAGATAGATCTTAAATTTAATGAATAACAAATCTCAGTTGACTCCTGGTTGAATGAAAAGTTTAATTTGGGTACATACAAAATATTTTCACCTAAGAAAAATCTGAAAAGTGAAAACAATAAACTTTACATCATTACATGTTTACTAGAAAAACCAAGTGTTATATACTATAGCTATATAGCCATCTGTCTATACCAAAATACCAATAGTGACTGTCGGTACAGTACACATTTGATCATCAGTGGAGGTCAAACACCAATGTACCACTAAACAGTTTCACATTTCAAAATATCAAACTAATTGCATGGTTATCAAAAATTTGGCCGACGATTCTTACCTTCACAGTGTTACATTAGAAATCCAAATTTGATTTACCATGCTCCTGAAAATATAAGCAGAAGTGTTGAAGGGTCATGTGAATGTATGCAGATCGAATGCTTATTTTTAGCTTTTAAGTTATAAGTTATAAGTATGTCAGTATCACGGCCTTGCTTATATGAACAACATGGAAATCGAAGGAGACACTTGTATTGTTCGGTTCCCGATGAGGTCAGAGGTTGGAAACGTCCTTGATAAAGGATGAATATTTTAGCGTTGGCTGCAGGTGAGACAACTACCCTGCTCCACTCCTGTTACCTGTGGGAGAGCGTATTACCTTTAACGACTCCCCGGGGAAACACCTCTGCAGCATCTTCTTGATTAAATTTGGCTACCTTACTCCGTGCCAACGGATTAAATAGCTGGTTTTTCTTTGCAAAATTGATGAAGTCGACCATGTTTGATACTGTAGACTGATGAAGTACCCATGAGGAGGAGGCGGTTTATTGAGTTTGTGTTAGAGGTGCGAAAACAATAGGTAACCCCTAGTTTCGTTTACTTTTAAATATTTATGAACTTTCCTTAGTCTTATTTGGGTGATGTTATACTGCAGCCACTGCAGTTTGCTGTCTATAGTCAAAGAGGCTACGGAAGCCGTAGGAATTATCAAATCTTTATGAATGAGAGATAAAATTCGGCCAAGATTGAATTTTTAATGCGTTGGTTGCTATAGTCATATTTTGGATTTTCATTGTATCCACGTAATTTTTAAAAGAGTAAATAAGTTGAATCTCTCGTCATGAATCTGAGTGTAACATTCAGGGAGCTCGCTAAGCCCATGGTGTTTCCTCAAAGGAAGGATAGTACTGTAGTAGAGAAGGAAGAAAAAAAGGACGAAGTCATATCGGTAAGATATAAACACTTACATCTACCCAGTTCCCGAAATCATCAACGTGACAGGTTTGATTGAAGGGTCTGGTTAAGAAAAGCACCAGCAATTTTATGGTATTTATCATATATATGAGAAAAGGATAAAACCAACCTGATGATTACTATATACATTTACTTATATCAATGAGGCCCAAAGCCTTGATAGTTATTCATTTGATGGTTTAGGTCGAAATTTTTGTTAGTTGTACATTTAAATGATTTAAGGGCCAGTATTTTGATAGTTGTTCATTTAGATGATTGAGGGCCAAATTTTTGATAATTGTTCATTTAGATGATTTATTAGGGCCAAATTTTTGATAGTTGTACATTTTGATGATTGAGGGCCAAACTTTTGATAGCTATACATTTAGATGATTTAAGGGCCAGCATTTTGATAGTTGTCCATTTAGATTATTGAGGGTCAAACATTTAATAGTTGTAAATAAATTTAGATGATTGCAGGCCAAACTTTTGGAAGTTACTTGTTGATATTAGGGCCATAATTTTGATAGTAAAACAATTTGATAATTGATGGCCTGACTTAAATATTTACATACACTGATTTAGATTATTGAAGTCCAAAGTTTTGATAGTTATACATTTAGATAATTAGGGGCCAAAGTTTTGAAGTTAAACAATTATATATCTTCGCTTGCCATTAGGATTATGATCTGTCAATCCAGTCTACATACGGTAGATCGTGCTGGATCCTAACCCTTGGCTAGCGAAGTTGACATTTAAATTGAGGACAAAAAGTTTTGATGGTTTTACATGTACATTCAGGTGATTGAAAGCCACTGGTTTGATGGTTGAAAGAATTATTTATTTAAGAGCCAAAGTTTTGATAGTATCAGGAGGCACTATGTTTTGATAGTTATGATATAAACCCCAGATTGTTTTGATATGCAGACCAAAATTTTGAATCAATGTTATGCAAGAAACATCATGAATATTCATTTCATAAAAAATAAAAAAATAGGAAGACCATTATCTTACATTGATATTTCCTCAATAACATTTAATTACTAAATTTGTGTATCACATAAATATACCCTAAATGATAAAATTTACATTTTGTAACTTGACTTTGTAAAATAAATACAAGTGGAAGATATTGAATACACCCTAAATGATAAAATGTATATTAAATGTATATATATATAAAGGAAGATATTGAAAGGGAATGGTTTGGACACAGACTGCAGTGTTCATTTGAAAAGCAATGGCAATATATCTGTTGTATTAAAATAAATCTCGTTGTTTACTTTGGAATTTTAACAGAAAAAGAACCAGTTATTACAAAATTTGTCAGAGATAAGATTGTTGACCATAATATTAGACAATCCTCTATGTCCGGGATCAAAGTGTATTTAAAGGGAAAAGTAATCAATTGTTTTGGGATTTAACTGAAGTGACATGACATTATGGATTTGTTTTTCATGTTTCTGTTGTTTGACAAACATACAATTTATATGTCTCTTTCTTTAAATGCCATGTTAGTTTGCAGTGATAACTGTATAACCTTATCCTTAAAGTTAGGATATTGACTAAAACAGCCGTGTTTTTTAAACACGGTTAAAACATATATAGATCACATAAATTTAATATCGAAATACAACCGACTCTAAAATCTGAATATCCACAATCAGGTGGTGTATGTTTTGTTCAGAATCAATCATTTCCACGCCCTAGAAACCCAGACATGTAAATATTA